GTTTCAGAAGACAAGAACCAGCTTGCCCTAAGACTCATATTTGAAGCCCCTGTCTTTCTCTTCCTTATGGAGAAAAGGGACAAGAAGTCTGGCCTACACAGTCCTGCAAGCCAGGGTGCAGCCAGTGCAGGCTGGGCAGGTACCTTTAACCTTAGGAACCATGGGAACCATGTCATGGTTCTTTGGGACCAGATCTTGTGGTCTTTGTGCAGTAGATAGTGAGCTGTCTCAGTCTATTAACTGTGGTGCCAGTGGTCTGAAATGCAACGTTATATCACAGCCACAAAACCCAACCCCATCTTATGAGGGTGCCCTCGGTTCTGTCACCTCATGTGTGAATGACTCTTAATCCGTTTCTCATGTGCATTCATGGGGTGATTATATAGCTATGATGACAGTGTAAAGATCATGGTGGGTACCTGGAAATTAATCATAATTATTCCTTATCTAATGTTAAGGTGTGATGGTAAGGTGGTGATTCATTCCCTTTTTTTTGACAATCCATTATTTTATTTATTCCTTCCATCATTATGGCTTAGGTATCAGGGGACTTCTCTTCCATAAAATTCTTCCTTTCTTTTGAGTTCTTCCTTCTCATATAGTTCCAGGAGTATGATGACCACCGTGTTTTGATGGCTGTACTTTTGTGTTGGCTCTCAGTCTACTTTTCAAAAAAATATTCCAGAGACATGGAAGAGTCCCTTACTCCTTCATTGCTTAGTAATAGATACCTTCTATAGCACAATTTGTATTTATTTGTTAACTCACAAAGCCAACAGGTAGTGCACAGATCAAAAAGCTCCTGTTCACAAAGCATCTATGACATCGGCTCATAGTGCTCTCAGTGTGTTTGCTGTCCTTGGAACTTCTTTCTGTGGATTAAATCTGGGTTTGCTCCCTCTTGGGCTAATTGTTTAGTCATGCCCTTCTTTGCCCTCTGCTTTCTGGGGTCCTGCTGTTTTTTTACTCATTCTTGTTGCTTGGGGTGTTTGCCTAAATTCCAGCTACCCTTATTCCCAGAATCCCTCACTTCTTAATACATAGGCTGTGGTGGAAAAGTGGACAGTGCCAGCCTCATAGTGTCCACAGCCTGTGAGGCACCAGACAGTCCAGTAGGGATGGACCAGGGAACTGCGTTGGGCTTCAGACAGTTAGCTACAATGGTAGACAACACTGATAAAAGCAAGCAGAAAACAAAGTTGGTGAGGCTAAACTTGGAGTGAGCAAGACAGGCGATGTTTGTAAAATACACTATGTTACAGTGGAACTATGGAAACATCTCAGATATTAAAAATTGGACTATGAACATAGTCTAAGCTCCGGAGTACTAGAAGACTAGAAGCAAATTAGTAAAGGAGGGGGGCTGTCATTTAAATAGCACAGTTGTAGAAGGATTTAGTGAGAAGGTGACATTCTCATGAAGACTTGAGCTGAGCCAGCAGAGCCCTGGGGCTCAGGGCACCGAGGCCTGGGGGTGGGGTGGGCGTCCGCATCTAAGGAGTGCAGAGACAGTTGACCTTGAGCTCAGAGAGGACAGAACGCCATGCCCTGAGGACCCTGCCTCCACTGCCAGGTTTGTGTTTGTTCTGGGTGGAGATGAGGCCAAGAGACCTTGAGGGGCAGGAGAGCCGGCATTTCTACAAACTCTCGGCTACTGTAGCCACACTGTGTCATAATTTTACAAGTATTTCCCCAGCTCTGTTTTTATCCTTTTTGTTTTGGGCTGGCTTCATTAGAACAGAATTTGAACGTGGCTAATGGGAGTTTTTGGGTGGGACAGACCAAGGTCTGAATCTGGGCTCGGCCACTTGCTTCGTGGTCAGTCTGTGACTCAGGTCTGTGATTCTCGCTCCTTGTGTGTACCTGGGTGCTGCCACTGTATCCAGGTCTGGTTGCATGCTGGGACAGTTCAGTAGGCAGAACTAGCCTGGTGTGTTGTGGGAAAAGGGAATGGTTTTTCAAAACCAGCCTTTCTTTCCTTTGTAATTATTTTTCTTTTCATGAAGTGCTGTGTGATTCATGTTTACACACAGCTGTGTGAGGTTCGTCTGCCAGCCCTGTGAGGTCAGTGTAAACTGAGCACGTGCTGGGCGGCCTTGTCCTCTACCTGATAGCCTGAGAGCATTGCTCCTTTGTGATTGCTCCTGAATCTGCATTCTGTGATTTGAATTGGGCAGCAAAAGATCCTCCCAGGCCTTTTTGATTGGGGCTGTCAGTGGGTGCTGAAAACACGCGTGGCGTTTATTCCTGGGGCTCTGTGGTAGACGCTGCATTCTTCCCCTGTCAAGCACAGCCCTCAGAGTAGCATATCCATGCAAGCCGCCCCCTGCTCCTAAGTGAGGCAGTCCCATTTATTCATTTCCAGTTATCCCTTTAGTATTTAATCTTTTACTTTGATCCAACTGTTGGATAATGAGTGATAAATTATCACAGCAGAGAATTTGTTTTCCTCCCTTGTCCCAGTTTGGGGGATAAAGAACCCAAGTTCCATTTTCCTAAGGCCCCCCCCCCCCCGACACAGAGATGTTGTATTCATGTGAGGCATGTATCAGCTGAGATGCATAGGTCAGATTACTCTGATGATGGGTAGACATATATGACCTTAGGCCTGAGAAAAACATAATGTGGTGTTTAAGAAAATATTTTAATTGGCTCTCTAATGATGACTGTGTGCCTGTCAAGTAAAAAATTCCTTGTACTTTGGAATTGAAGAATTAAGTCAAATCTGGAATTCTCTGTTCATTCTACCTCAAGAGATTGACACAGCTATAGTAGTAATATTTTTCTGCCATTTGGGCATTTTGCTGCTCTTATCAAGAGAGTATTGTTTCTATAACATGTAGAGACTTTATGTATTTTTGTCCCCCTTGCTATTTGAGCTTAAGAAAATGCATGGCATGTGTTAGTGTGTGATGTACTCAGTGATGATGTTGCAACCGTGAGCAAGCAAGTCATGGTTCCTGTCCCTGGGTAGCTGGTGACAGCCCTGCTCTGTGGGCTGGGAGAGAGTTGTTTCATCTGAGTTTTGAGTTGAATTGAGGAAGATCAGATGCAGACAGGTAGTGTATACAGTCATAATGAAAGCAAAGGAATCAGTAAAGGAATCTTGCAAGTGTGAGGTGATGGAGCCCACGTACAGAGGGGCCCACAAAAGTCAGAGAAGGTAAGTTCTTTGTCTAGAAGGACATCCATGCTTAGCTCTTGGAACTTCATTCGTGTGGGAAAGAAGTATGCATGGATGGTTGAATGGTGGGTAGATGGATGGGTAAGTGGATGGATGGGAAATCTCATGAAGGCAAAAACAAAAATCTCAGCTTAGAGGCTTTTGCAGTTGTCTCAGAAAGAAATGGGTCTAAATACTAGATTTCTATATTATACAGAAGTATTTAGACCCAGTGCAGAGAAGTTAGAGAAATATACAGACATGGGAAATGGGAGCTGGAATCAGGTGCTGAGAGCATGAGGTGAGTGAAAGGTACATGTGTATAATAATGCAGAAGGAAGCTATGGGAATTGGGAAATAAGATGGGTGATAAACTTAGGAGAATTGGTAATGGAGCCCATTGGTGAGGGAGATAACAGGTCTAGCTTGGGACAGTTAAGCAATTCAGTGGCCAGTCCAGCAGATAGTCACATAATCAAGTCTCAGGTTCATGGAAGAGATTCAAGGGGGAGGTGCAGATTTAGCACTCGGTGTTTGCAGAAACCTGTACCAGTGTGCAAGGATACTTGCCAAATGAGAAGAGCAGGCATGGGAGCTAGAGCACAGCAGAACATCGTTGTATGAAGGTGGTTGACAGAACAGCTGCTGTCAGGATAACCAGAGCCAGTAGTCAAAGGCCCAGAGGCAGAGTTGTCTCAAGTCCAGTGCTGATGTTTTCCAGGGTTTGAGCAGTCAGCAGAGTTACCTGCAGCAGAGTCATGCAGTAAAGTTGGGAATGGTACCTTCCACTGGCTCTGTCTCAGGAGTACATTGATTACTGTGGTGCAAATGTGTTTTGTGGCTACTTGGTGCCATTCACCAGTTTTGTCTGGATTTGGGAGTGTGTCACAGGAGTACAGAGGCTGCAGCTGATCTGAGAGGGGAGGCATGAGGGCAGAGTGAGGAGCTAGCACCCCTGGGGAGCCACAGTGCAGAACTGTGTTAGAAGCCGCAAGGAGAGACACTTACTGCTGTGGAGCACACGTTGCACTTCTCTTTGGTTGCACATGCTTATGTTACTGAAAACGGAGCTTTTATTCACACTAATCAGGAATGAAGAGTGTAGTGTGCTCTGCATATCTGTGCACATGTATCCTGTTCTCCCTACATTGACTATGAATATCACTAGGACATTCATCTTCCTAAGTGAGCAGTGTTTCATATTTTTTCTGTAGTTTTCTTTCTAGCATTCCTTAGAAGTGCTGCACACGGTCCCACCAGCATTACGAGTTCTACAAAACATATCTTGCTCCTTGCAGAAGACCATTCTGCAGACCCTGCTGACACTCAGGATCACATCTGAGTTCCTTGTGGAGCCTTTCGTGCTCTGCCCTGGCCAGCTCAGCCCCTGGCTTCTGGCAGACTTCACATTCTGGGATCCTGGAGTGTGGAAGGAAGATTCAGCAGTTCACTGTCCTGCTCATGCCGTGGTGCATCTGCTGAGCTCCCTCACCGTGGAGACCTCTTCCTGATGCCCTTCTCTCTGTCAGCCAGCCACACCCTCACTCTCTCTTTAGGATTTTTCTCCAGTGTTGTTACTCCTGAGGCCCAGAGACCTCTCCAGGCATCCAGAGACCTCATCCAGACCATCTCCAGGGAACTGCTGGGCTCCTTCCCGCTCCATGTTGAAGACCGAGCAGGCCGTTAGCATCTGTGTACTCCCATCTTGGTCCTGTCTGGGATCCTGTCTCCTGCCTGTCAGGGGACACCTGTGTGTCTCTGGCTCCATGCCCGACCTCATTCACTCTCAGGAGCTGCCAGCCTGGTGATGCTTACCTTGTGCTCCGCTTCTTTCCAGGGAAGCAGTTCAAGTGCACGGTGTGTGACTATACGGCGGCCCAGAAGCCACAGCTGCTGCGGCACATGGAGCAGCACGCTTCCTTCAAGGTAGGGCACCTGGGAGGCAGAGGCAGAGGTGGAGGCCTGGCCAATGACATGTTACCTGTGGATGATGCCTTCACTTGCAGGCTCGTCGCCAGTACGCGTGGAGTCTCAGGGTGTGCTCTCTCTCTCTCTCTCTCTCTCTCTCTCATGTGCTCTTTTCAGAAGCACAGCTTTTCTCTGTACTTTGGAAACCAAGTCCATGAACAGTGGGGAAGAAGACACAGACAGAAGACAAGGCATGCTCTTACCCACGAAACAGAGTGATAAAACAAAGACTGTGAGCTCTGGCACATATACTTGTGCCTTTAGATGACTACAAGCGAATCACCTGGTAGAACAAGTGTGACAAAGTATGAGGGCAGGAAGTAGTTTCCAGGTGCCTGGCAGGTGGCAGGAGCTCAGGAGATGGTGGCTTGTCTGTGTCTTCTTAATAACTATTAAGTCGTATTTCTTTAATATAGCTGATGGTTTTTGTTTAACATTGTCTATGGTACAGTTATAGAGCACAAGAACTTTGGACCAGCATATTAATCTATACAAGTTTTTGCTCACTTCAGGGCCATTCTGACCCTAACATTGCTGCTGTTGCTTATGTGGGAATGTGAAAATGGCTCTATAATGTCTCTGGAACTGGTCTTTACCTCAAAGCTTGCACTGAGTCATCTCATAGGTGCTGGCATTGTACCATGAGCCCCACAGCCATGGACCCCAGTCTCCCCACACTCCATCCTGGAAGGACTGCAGCCTGAATCCAGAGGTCTTCTGCATGACACCTACTATGTACTTAATTAAAATGAAGAGCTTTATTTTACATCTCACAGGGACACGATGCGTTTCTTTGGGAAACCAAACTTTCTTGGACTTAGTGCACTTATCATGCTTGAGAGCAGAAAACTAAGGCAACTGTTGCTTTATAGATGAGAAACTTAGGCCCATTGGGAAGTTTTAGGCAACGCCAGCTCTTGTGGGGCTTTGCGTCCCTGTGCTGTTTGCAATGTGGACGGTTCCTGTTCCCTTCTAGTCAGGCACAGCTGAAGCTGTCTTTGGTCCTGAAACCTTCAGTTTTGGGTGCAGAGGAGATGGAGGGGGGGATCACGTGGTTAAGTATCATTGATGCGTATTTACCTTCTTTTTCCTGCTGTCATGCCGCGTCTGGAGCTGCTGCTCTGAGCCGGCCCCTGGGTCACAGCCCTCCAGTGGGTCTGGGCTCCCTCCCTACTGAGTGGTGCCCCAGCTGGGAATGAGGGGCCACAGTGAGGAGTACTAAAGCCAACCTTGGCCTCTCATCACTCTCCTCCTATGCCAGTTGGTTAGGCATTGTTTCTCAGGTAATTGGGACTGGCAGCCACATGAAGAACTTTCCACGCCCGACACGCTCGTTTTGACAGTAGCAATTACACTTTCCTCGTCATCCCTGTATTGGCTTCCTCTTGCTATAATGACTACCACCAAGATAAACATAAACTATATTTGCTAACCTTCAGCTCCCTAATTCTGAAAAGTCTAACATGAGTTCTGCTAGAGTAAAATCAAGGTGTTGTCTGGGTTGTGTTTCCTTTCAGAGGCTCCAGGCGTAACTCAAGGCCTCACCTGTCCTGCTTCCAAGGGCCGTTGGCAGCCCTTGGCTTTTGGCCCCTCCCTCTCTTTCAGAGCCAGCGTCCCATGTTGCATCACGTCTTCCACTCTTCTACTTGGAGGGGCTCTTGGGACAATACTGGATCCACCTGGATAACCCACAAAATGCTCTCACCTGTGGTCACATGACTCATTCCGCCTGCATTCTTAATCCCTTTTTGTCTCTTAGAATAAAATGGATATAGGGTCTAGTGCTTAGGAGATAGACATCTTTGGAGAGGAATTATTCTGCTAGTATATCTCACTGTTTTTTTGTTTTGTTTTTGCTTTCACATCTCCTGATAGTAGAACATTTTTACTGATATTAGAAAGTTCATAATGTACACACACACACACACACACACACACACACACATACCAATGGCACACCTTCCAAAGAAATTGTTTATCTTTTTTTTTTTTAACCAATCTCATTTTTGGCTTTAGAATCTTGGGTAGATATCAACTAAAGCTGTTGAGTAAGCTTGCAAGATGAAGCCAGTTTGTTTTTCTAGAGGTAGATATGTATCTTACAGTAGATGGTTTATGGCAGGAAACATGGAAATAGACAAATTCCTATACTTTAAAATATGGCATGTGGGGCTGGGAAGGTGGCTCAGTGGTAGAGCGCTTGCCTTGCATGCTTGACGCCCTGGGTTCGATTCCTCAGCACCACATAAGCAAAAAGAAAAAAGCCGGAAGTGGTGCTGTGGCTCAAGTGGTAGAGTGCTAGCCTTGAGCTGAAGAGCTGAGGGATAGCGTCCAGGCCCAGAGTTCAGGCCCATGACTGGACCAAAAAAAAAATATGGCATGTTTTCTACTTATGTAGTTATTTAGTGTTCACTAAGATTCTAAAAATGCTTACAGAACCCTTACCTTGCAAAATGTTTTTTTAATGTGGCTTAAGTCTTATAGCAAATGGACATCGTGTGTGTGTGTGTGTGTGTGTGTGTGTGTGTGTGTGTGTGTGTGTGTGTGTGTGTGTGTGTGTGTGTGTGTGTGTATCCAGGCTTGAACTCAGGGCCTGGGCATTGTCTCTTAGCTTTTTTGCTCAGGGCTGGTGTTCTACTACTTGAGCCACTTCCAGAGTTTTACTTGTTCATTGGAGATAGAGTCTCATAGACTTTTCTGGCCAGGCTGTCCTCAAACCTTGATTCTCAAATCTCAGCCTTCTGATTAGCTAGGATTACAGACATATGAGCCTATCCAGAACACATGGTACTCTTGACCTTAATTAACAGTGAATATACTTGCTTGTGATGTATGTGATGGACTGCTGGCTAAGCCCAGACATCTCTAAATAAGTGGGGGTTCCTTCCATTTATCAGCCTAGCCTACCTTGCTTTCTTGCTGAAATTAAGCCCACACATTGCCATGTTAGACAGTATGGCTAGTAAGCAGGATTCACCTTGTGGATCTCTTAATAAATATTCTCAGTGACAAGGCTGGCCAATCCAGCTAGCAATCACCTTGCATCTGTATCATAAATGACTATTTTAAAATAAAGTTGATCTTTTCATTTGAAGATAATGCTTCATTTTTTTTGCTAGCATTGCATGTATCATTGCACACTATGTGTTAGAGGTACATGTTTAATGGAGTCATATTACCTGCAAAGTTGGATTTCACAAAGTAGTTGTGCAGTATTCTTGTTGGGGAGGATGATACAGAGAGAATGAGAGAGAGCAAGAGCAAGAGAGCAGGGGAGAGAGGGAGAGGAAGAAGAGGAAGAGGAGAAGGTACAAGATAGGTGTGGTGGGAGGAAGGGAGGAGGAGGAGGAAAGAGAAGCAATGGATGAAAGTCAGAGGAAGGTGAGATTGGGCTTCAATCACAGCCTTGAAGTAGTTCTTTAGACTTGCCCTTCTAGCTGATCTGGGTCACTTTGCCTCTGTGGATTACTTGCAAACTTGATAGATTATCTCATTCATTCCAGGAAACTATGCTCTTAGTGTATCTGTTAGATATCAAAACATGGATATGATATTTTAAGATACTTTTAAAATTAAAAACATTAAGCAGCTAGAATAATTCTTATTTTCCTGTAATACTGGCCTTTTGATCCTTGCCTTATTTTTATGAATGGTTATTTTATAAAGGCAAGAATATAAAAGGAATAGATTATAAAGAAGGGAGCTAGCTCTGGGTACATGACAGAATGCCCCACTTCACTTACAAAAGAATCAGAAAAACCACACTAGTTTATGATTTTTTCACTTAGCTCGGTAAATGGTCCAGAGTCTGAGAGGCCTATTGCTCCACTGGAGGTCATAAGAAGACAGTAGAGCTGATACATTGTGGATGCAGTGAGAGTGGCCGTGACCCCGGTGGTCGGTTTGCAGAATCTGTCAAAGCTGCAAATGCATGTGCTCTGACTCATCATTGCCATTTGTACAGATTGATCTCCTGCAGATGAACTTGCAGGCTGAAAAAGCTGTAGCTATGCAAAGTAACAACGGAATTTTGTTTTGGTTACTCATGAAAATGTCTGCACATAGGGCAAGTATTGAATAGACAGTAGGATATCCAAGCCACCAAATCTTCTGTAGCTACAAGGTTCCAGGAGTTCTCTGTTACTTGTGTTGAATGATATAATGACATGCAAAACGAAGGTTATAAAAGACCCAAACTATATCTACATTACCATATTTGCTTCAAGTCTTCTATAAGAGTACATGCAGAAATGATAAGTCAGGTGAGGATAGCAACTGAGTTGTTGGGAGGAAAGGACTATAGTAAGACTTGCTTCTGTATCTGATTTTTAAATTATGTGAGTAGAATGCTTTATCTACTTAATACGTTTAATTAAAAAGCAGCAATGATTTGTAATTACAAATGACAGTCTAGAAACTACCCCACATTGAAAACAGTGGTAAATTGCATTTTGGAATGCTATTGAGATTCTATTTGGTATTCTCATATTTGGTCCAAATTTTAAGTCTCAGAGCAATGAGGTCTCATAGCAAAGCCCAGGATTTAGAATCCTCTTGACTGTGCCACTTGTAGGCTATGAATTTAATTTTTTTTCAGTCATTGCTGGTATGCTACCACTTAAGCCACCCTCTCACTCCATAATTTAACTTTTTTTTATTATAGCCTTTATTGTCTGTAAAATGAGAGTGATCTCTGTTCCCATATGTTGGAGGTATTAAATGAAGCAATGTAATTTTTATGCAAAGATGGTGTGGCACCTGCTACCTGTTGGTTGGCTATTTCTTCTTCCTAATTTTGTGGAAATGACTCCAGTTTCCCAGAAGAACTAAAGTGAGGTTAAGCCCAGTCTGATCACGTTCATATTATTTGAGTAAAACTAAATTGTGTTTAATCTCATCATAGGTGTCAGGCTTTCTTTTTCATATGCTTTTTGGGCCTGCTGTTCTTTTTCTTTTTG